CTGTTTTGGCAAAACCACATCAGGTTTGAAAGAAAACACTGCTGTTGTTTCATCAGTGAGATGGCGTCTGCTTGTATGTCTCCTTGTATGGGTTTGTGGTTTACCAGCAAATGAGTTAACTGCTGCCTGCGTGCTGCACCATTCTGATTCCATTATTCATTTTGTTTACTATCTGTCTTGGATCATTTTGAAATACCTTCAGACTCAAATCAAAGGAGTAAAAAGCGCTTTGTGGGCCGCTATTTTATTCGCTGTTTGCTGTTCCTGAAAGTGTGCCAAAATCTTCATAAACTTCCACTATTCCTTAACTGTACTCTTGCTTTTAAGAATAGAATAAGGTATTCACTGGCAAAATGCTGCTTACCATACAAAAGTTTGCATCAAATAATCAATACAGTTAGAGGTACTACTAGATTTTGTGACCACTGTGCACATGAAATCCTCATAAGTGCTACAAACCGGTCTTGTCTGCCAAATGTTGTTTTTGTTTTACTGTTTTTTACCAGAAACCTTTACTGCTGATGGTAGGATTAGGTTGCAGAATTTTAATGGTCTGAAAAGCATCACATATAAGTTGAATTGGGTTGCCTCTGTGTGGCATGCACGGAGCCGTGACACCTGATGTTTTCCTTTGTTGGGAGCAACAAAGGCACTTTGGTGAAATCTAAGGAGAGACTGTGAGTTTGGCCCAAGTGTACTCGCATCAAGTTCTGTCCCATACTTTTTCATATTTAACCATCATATCCACTTTGTACAAAGCACTTATTAGTTTGGAGTGACTGTTCTTATGGGTTTGAAAATGTTGATCAGCGCATCTTAATTTAGTTGTGTATTAACACACAACTTCTAGGCATGTCACTTTCCTTTCAGAGAGACAGTGTCTATTTTGGGGATTTGGCAAGGGGAACAAAAATATAAAAGAATTCGAGTTTACAGTGATGTTTAATCTTTCAAACTAGTTATATTTCAGTAATATTCATATCAGATGTCTCAGTCTTTTCCATTTTCATCTGGCCGCATACGGTTCTCTTCGAAGGCAAAGCTCTGCACGGAGGCTCACATTAACGGTGTACACAGGCATTTTGCAGCTTGCCTACAGTGGACATGTTCATAATTAAATTAGCTAAACAGAATAAATCAGGCACATACGTGTGTATAAAACATTTCACAGTTGATTGTTTATGCATGAGAGAAAATGAAGCCATGTACTCGAACACGTTTTGGCACCCGAATCGAACCCATTAACAAGTCAGTAAAAAAAAAAAGAAATTCAAAAAGTCACACAGGACTATATCAGTCTGCACCACAGATTGAATCTGCAGGAAGAAGCCCTCCATAACAGTTTTGTGACTTAGTAAAAAAGGTTGTCACCTAGTCAAAAAGCGCTGCTTGCTCCCTGTGTCACATACTGCTGCAGCCAGTACATCAGCGTGACAATGCCTTGAGGAAGCCTTTTTTTTTTTTTAAACAGCTGCGCTTGGTGACATGGGAATAAGAACTGGGTGGAGCTTCCCTAAAATCACATGAACAAAACTCTGTAATCTGATTAAAGAAAAACTGAAAACTATTTGTCCTCAATTCCCAGCAGTAGGCTACATGGGAAACCAGGAGCATTTTCTTATATTATAACAGTACGATCATCCCTACTGTTTTTCTTATAGGCTACTAATTGTTTAAATCTAACCATATAGAACCTCGCATTTTGTACCGGACATGTCTTAAATACTCGAAATGTCTTATTGATCCTTTCTAGTGCATTTCCATGGAGTCATTTTAAATAACATTTGAATTACATTTTACATGTCATTTTAAATGACTCCATGGAAGCCTTTTTTTCTCGTTTTTGTCAGCTTCTGCTCTTTAAATTTGACTACCACTCGTGGCTGAGCTGTGTTTTCCTTACAGATTACAGTTTTATTGCTTTTACGCCCTATATGATGTCATGTCCAGCCATGTTATCACACATCTGTGTTGACTGTAGTTTATAGTTTCTTTAATTGTTTTAATGATTGAGGATTTCTAAGCTTTCTGTTCAAGATGTGCTGAAGCTAGAACCTTTCATCACCGTGTGGGGGGTGCAGCGGGGGGACACAAGGGAGACGAGGGAGGAGAAGAGCGGGAAAACTGGGACACTTACCGTGCAGCGTCATGGATTGGATGTGAGATGATGACTTCAGGCCAATAAGGGCTCCCAGATGAACAGTTTTGTCAGTCTTGAGATATGACACTGAAAGTAGAACGTCAGTGTTGCTCAGCTGTGGTGGAAATCCTTTAAAAATCCCCACGTGATCGGACCGTTTACAGCTTCTCCGTCCACATCTTGGGCCGGCAATGAAGTGTGATCATTCATCAGTCATGATAAATGTTAACTTCAACTGAATGTTTGTTTAAAAGCAGTTCACACTTTCTGCAACAGATTTCCATTTATTGTTTTCTAATCTACAAACTTTGACAGCTTCTTTCCACTCTGTTATTGTACTCAAATCAGGGTATTATGTTCATTGCACAGAAACGTCTTGTAGAGATTTGAGTTGGAAAGTAATGAAAATTGAGTGTGTTTAATAAAGTGCCCTAAGGGTCTTTTCTTTCCTCTTATACTTGAAGAAGATCAGTCATGTCCTGATATTTGAGTTTTCAACTCTATCTCAAAAAAAGTCTTGAACACGGACCATTGGTTTGTTTTGTTTGGCTGAAATGAACCTTATCGGCAGAGTAAAGACGTGTGGGCTCCACCTGCAAACGTTCAGCGGGATGTCAACACAAAACCAACATGATGGTACAGCTGTTTGGGTGTAAAAATTTCTCACTTCAACGGCGCATGTCTGGAGCCATTTATTCTCTGCTGCTCAAAATATAGTGTTTATGTAAAAGTTAGTACACTTTTATTCCACTCAACCTGACTTTTGCCACTCAACCATTGCCTTTCACATTTGATTGGTAGGTGACTTCTGAAAAAAAGAGCTCTGTAATGCCAAAAAATGTTATGGTTTGTTTGAATCGCAGAGGAAAAAAAGAAGAGAAAAAAAAGAGTTTTGTGAACGGGCCAGTATTCAATTAATCAGTGAGTGTTTTTTAATCTCTGCCTGAGGAGACAATGAAATAAGCATCTGAGGTCAATTAAGATCTGGTCAGTTTGACTCTGTTGGAAGTTAGAGCCTGCGAGCATCAAACAGGTACACGACAGGCCTTTTATGATAGGAAAGGACACGGTATCATAATGGGGTTTTCTAATAACCTCATTAAGTGTGTTAATAACGATACCAGCAAAGAGCTAAATCGCAACTGAAGTCGGCGTATTTGTTAGAGATTAACCAGGAGCCAATTAAACTTCTTCTGCATGCTTCAGATAGTTGCCCTGATCCTTCCCGTCCGTGTAAGGTTTAGTACACATGTTCTCTAACCCTCTGCCCAGATGTTCCCTCGCACCCATATGTGAGCCAAATGGACTTAAAGGCTGATTATGTGCTGCATGAATGTCAGTCTGTCCGCCTACCCAGAAAGGGCCTGACGAGCTGTCCAGGACAGTCCCCTCCCTCCCTTCAGTGCATTCTATATAGAGTTTCATCCAGCTTGTTCCGCAGTCTTTTGTATAGCATGTTTTACAGTTGATTTCTGAATAAGGTTTCTATTTTGAGCGTAGGTGCCTTTTATGTTCTGAGATTCCTTCCCCTTGACAGCTTTGTTTGATGAGGTGTTTTGCATGCCTGTGCACCAAGCAGGAAATCAGGTGGGGATGAATGAGTTCTGAAGAACAGCTAAACCTTGAGCTGCATATGGAGGAGACAGTGGACATTGGGAAGTGTAGTGAAGTGGTATTTTCTTTCTAAATGAAAAGCTGATGGAACAATAAGAGGGCAGCTCATACATTTACTCCACACTTCATTGTATATGTTCTTTAAGGGAAATTACATTAGGATTACATGATAACGTTAAGTCGGAAAAGGAATACGGTAATGGCGATGCCATGATTTAAAAAAAGCAAACAAACATTTATTATGTGTGACATATTCAAACATTTATAATTCATCTTACAATGTTTTACTTGTATTAAGCAGAATAAAAAGTTATGCACAGATATCCAAGACAACCTCTGACGTGATCCATTTAGCTTTTCGTGTGAACAGCCAGGAGGATTAACCTTTTTAAGTTTTGGCCAAAGAGGAAATATGTCTCTGATTAAGGTAAAACTCTACAGGAGAATCTGTCGGTAACTGTTACCGTGCTAACGTAAAAAAGAACTAGCTGTTGTGTAATCTTGTTTTGGAGGCAAACAGACCACTACATGTCCTTTGGGAATGATTTTTTTCACAGCGCACGGCACGATACAGGTTTCAGACTGCAGATGTTCTTTGTAGTTGCGCAGGTTTGCCCGATTCTGCGCGTCCGCGTTCCCACCAAACTGTAGCGTCTAACTGCAGGTATACAGTTGCAATCACATGCCAGCATCTGACATGCAAATCCCACTCCCTCCTCCTCAAGCCCGATCCTGCCACAGCGTACTCCGCTCAGCAAACCTGTGCTCCGATAAGAGGACCTTATCCCAAACATGCTATATCTATTCAATCAGAGAGGGATTAAGTTCAGATACATGACATTTTAGCCCATTCCAAGGACCTGAGTCAGGGCATAAACAACTCCTACGCTAAACCAGGAAAATATTTATCTTTGCTCATAGAACTTCTTCAGATAGTGTCAACACTGCTTAGAGACACAATTACATTTGTGGATGGAAAACTAAGAGTCCTTGGGGAGATACAAGTGTATAATGTGGGCGGATCACAGAATACTCGTAGTCACACAGAAGAAAACTATCACACTGATAAATGTGACAACCAATTGTAAGCCAAATAAAAATCTCGAAGATTCCCATTTGTCCCGATGTCTCCTAATTTTGAGTCGAAACTATCTTTTTATTCATCTTCCTCATCTTTAGGAAGACGGATGGCTCAATAAAGAGTCGCATTGACGTGCGTTTTGTCTCTGTCTGGTGTTTTTCACAGTAACCACAACGCAATCTCCAGGCTCAGGCCACGCCAGAAGATGCAACGACACAGAGAAATCCTACTGTGTGAATGGCGGCGACTGTTACTTCTACCATGGCATAAATCAGCTTTCCTGCAAGTGAGTTATCCCTCCCTGCTTCTCCATTCTCCAGCAAAACATCTTTCTCATTGTCAATCTGTCTTTTTTTTTATTGAAGGGATACTCTTTTGCTGCCGTGTACGTGAAAACCTGCGTCACGAACCCTTTTACATAAGTAACGTTATGTAAAAAATGTTATTTTTGTTATTATGTGTGATTCCCCTGATTCTTTTTTCCAGCAGCAGCAGGAGCAGCAGCAACACATCACAGGAAAACCCTGCCAGTTTTCCTAACCAGCCACCTGTTGTGTATTTTAACACTAATAATGGAGCAAGGCGGTGGTGGAGTCATCCTTTTAAGTCCTGTTTAGTGTACAAGAGGGCTGCACGTTAAAAGTCTTTTCAAAATGTCATGAGTCATCGGTTTAGTGGTGAGCAAATATTTATGCCTGTTAGAGGCCCCCAATGAGGTAAATAGAATAATTGCTTACATTTGGCAGGGGAGATCAAGACCCATGTGTAAAGTGTGCCGGTGGAACCATGTATCTCTGCTTTTCAGGAGGAAAACGGGGCTGACATTTTCCAAGAAACAGACATTTCTTTTTTTTCCTATTTGACATTTACATTTTAGTTTGTTTTAGACTCAAGGTCAGGACACATTAGAGGGGATTGGGTTCAGAGGGCTTTAACATAAACATAGTTTTTACTGCATGTATTTATAAATGATTCTGCAGACATGGTTTATATATATCTTAAGATGTATCAGACTTATCATGTACCCACATCATTGTAAGCAAAGATCCTCACAGATTCCAGCTTTTTAACTGTAATGATTGGCTGGTAATCCACACGCTAAGCTAGAAATACCTAAAATCAGACTGTCTCAGCTTCAGCTTTTAAAATTTGAATACATTTTTGTTTTAAATTGTAGCCATTTTTTCTGGGCTCAAATGATCCCCACTGAAATAAATAACACTAGTCCTAATTGAATTATATGTTTTTTATTAAAGGAGACATATCATTTTCTTTTTCTCACAAGATTACAGTCTCAGCTCATTATGTCATGGGCATGACTTGAACCACCGTACCTCACTTTGCTCCACTCTTTCTCAGGACCGAAAGGAAAAGGCTTGACTGACTGTTTTCTAAAACGTTTTAATGTTTCTAATCTAATCTTTTTTTTTCAGGCGCAGTCTTATTATGTACATTACGTGTTAGACGTCATAATACCGCTGAAAACTCACTTTGTATCCCTATAACCAATATCAGCTCACTGTGGAAAATGTCCAAGTATAGAAGGTAGAATTAAGATTTCACCTGCTCGTATATTAAACATTAAACAAAGTATTTCAGATAAGTAGCAGGGTTGTTTTAGCTGTTTGGTTTAGAGTCTGTAGACACACAGTATGTGGTCTCAAACACTGAAGAAAATAAGGATTTCTTTTGTCAACCAAACAACATAAAATACAAACAGGGGCATTATTATGGTTGTAAGAATGTGTGTTGCATTTTCTGTCGAACCATATGTCCATAAACTGTCACAGCAGCCCTGTATCTGGTTCCTGGCTTTATGTGGAGCCGAGACATTGGCGTAGCTTCTGTGCCCAGTTGGCCAAAGGAGGAACTCGACAAGCAGCGAGGACATGGCTGCAACAGCCGCTCAATAGGCTGTGTACAAATTGGAGGCAGCAATAACTCAATTGCTGCAGCTAATTCACTCACGGCCAGGGCATGGGTCCAGAAAAGTTGGATAATGCAGTGAGGGCCTGCGGGGATTTGTTGCCCCACAGCCATCTCATTTAATATAGGCCAGGCTTCACTGGGTGTTACTCACTGGCTAAACAAGTCCCACAGACAGCCAGCCCTACATTTGCACCCAGCTTCCTCTCTCTATGACTCAAACTTTGTAGAGGTAAGGTCAAAAGATGAGATAAGTGTGTTACCGTTTAAAGCAAAAGATAAACAATAGCATTTGTTTGAAGAAGTGCATTGTTAATGCTCAATGTACTAATGCTGGAATACAAATAGTAATAACAATTCAAAGAGAACAATGATTGGATATTTCTTATGGAAAGAAATGTGAAGGTGCAACCTGGTTTAAAAGCTAGAAAAGTACCTCTTATTTTTTTCCTTGTTTCAGGAAAAACATCAAATATCTTTGGGAATTATAGCCATAGCAGGAGTTGCATGAATATAAGAGAATCTTTTTACGACCAGCACCAGTCTGTCCTCTCTTGACACATGGTGAAATGCTTATTTCCCCCTAAATGTCACATGTTTATTTTCTGAGCCACTGTGGATATTTGCGCTCTCTGCTGATTTTTGAATTATGCAGTGATGGTTTATTTCTTTGAATTTTAGCCAAGTTCCCTCTGTGTATAGGTGGTGTTATCCCCCAGCTACACACCATCACTCAGGATGAGTAATTTAATGCTGAATGTTATGGTGCTCCTGGGAGGCGTTGTGTGAAACCAGTAAATCACGAGCAGTGACCTTTGTCTGATTGGTGGTCTAGTTGTGGCTGTGAGTGGAATGTTGGTGGCCCTAAAAGACCAACCGCTCATCCTAATGGGTTTATAATGAGGAAATACGGCCATGCCCAGCACCCTTGATGGTGGTGATAGTCTGTCTTCAGTTACAAAAATATCAAGCCATACATTAGCTTGAGACTCCCAAGAAACATATTGTCCAGTAATATTTGTCCTTTGAGAAACATTTACATATTTGCTGTTCCTTCTTTTTGAGCGGTAAATAGAAATTTGGGATTTCCACTTGATGGTGTTATGGTTATAGTTGTAAAACTGTCACATTTGCAGTTTATGAATTTAGCCACTGGGATCCCAATGGCTCCAACGAAAAAGGAACCACATTCGTTTATTTTCATTGTTGGACAGGCTTCCTTGAATTTGATTACCTTTGAAGACATGCATGGTAAAGGGATATGAACAGTCTTTGGAAAGTCAGTTTCATTTGAAATCATCTTTTATGTCACTTCATTATTACTGAAGTCGTCGTTCCATTAACATTTTATTTGTCTGTCGTTCTCCTTTTTACTAATTGGATATATTCTAATATATGTGATTGGTGACCCTGAGGGATTTCAGCCAATGAAATTTACAATGCACCCCACTTCCTGTGTTTTCCTTTCCATAACATGCGTCTGCTCCTTCCCAGATGTCCGGATGGATACTTCGGCCAAAGATGCTTACAGACTGAGCCACTGCGGTCGTACATGCCCAGTCCTTTCAAAAGTATGTTCACTTGATATGAGCAGCTGAGAACAGAGGCACAGTTGTCACTGGATCACCTCAGTGGACTCCTGCTGCCCCTTCCTCTCACTCCGCAGTTCTCTTCCTCTTCCTTCTCCTCTTTTTCCTTCCCAGGTCAACATGCAATGAGTTCTTGACTGCAGCGGGCACACAGTGGTGTCATCAATGGGAACACTCTGCTTCTGCTGTCTATGGTTATGCTGTTGTTCTAATTCTGTGTTTCTCTCCCTCCCTCCCTACCCCCCCCCCCTCACTCCCCCCTCACCTTTTCCTATGCATTCTTTTCTTTTCACTACACCACTGCCCTCTGTTCCCTTACTTCTTCCTCACTCATCCATCCTCCTTCTTCCTCCCCCTCTTTCTATGGCTTTGTTTATTTCCATCAGGTGTCCAAATGACTTTACTGGTGATCGCTGTCAAACCTACGTTATGGCCAGTTTCTACCGTATGTCAACTTCCTCTTCTGTCAGTGTGTTTGACGGTCCTCGTGTCATGTGTGCATGTTGGGTGTATAGAGACTGCATCCATTTCCCGGTATTTCCTAATAGTTGTGTCTGTGTGTCCTTTGATGACTCACCACAAGCTGGCATAGATTATTAGATTCTGTTACTTTGTTTGGACTGCATGCTGCCTATTCTGTGGCTTTCCTGTTTTTTTTAAGCACATAGCAATGCATGCACTTTCTCAAAAATGATGTTAGAGTAAATCTGAAGTTATGGTCCGAATTTAGATGCTTTGTGGATGTTGCAATTAGTGATCTGCATGTAACAAGAAAGTCTAACGGCTAAATGGTAACTAAAACTTATTGCACTAGAAAAACTCCATGAGTGAAAAACCAGGCCTGAGCAATTAGCAACTAATAAGCATGACAAATGATGCATCTAATTGGTGATTTACCATGGACAAAGATATTTTTTATGGTTACGTGTGCATACCACAGGCCATTTTAAAATATTTAATGTGGAATTTCCTCATATTTCAAATTGGAATAGAGATCTGATCAGTGATTAGTCAAAGGTCAAAATGGCAACGTGCATTTATGTGCAAGCTGGGCATCATTTCACTTCCAAATTTGACAAGTTGACAACACTGGGTGTCATGATAGTTAATTTTGATAAACCAAAACCCAGGTGTAATTGTCTCATTAACACAGGCCCTTTTGAGCAATATAGGAACTTTAAAATCAATTCCAAGAGTGTGAAAAACAACTGGACTGAGACCACTTAAGAAGGTAGGTCTTGGTGCACTTTAAAAGTAAACTTTATTATTTCTCTTTCTAATTCAGACCAGCTCCAAACTTATGTTAATTCCTATTACTCTGTAAGAGTAATTGGGTTATTACTATATTGTTCAGGATACCCCAGAAAATTCTTCAGAATGGCATCGCATTCACATCACATATCCTCACCATTAGATACTGGGATGAGGCAGGTTGATTGTTTGTAAAGGATCCTCCTAAAATTTAAAAGAAAAAATAGGAAATCTAAATCAATGGAACCTAAACAGAAAAAATGTCGCAGATTGTTGTTAATTCAGTCTCCACAAGTTGTAAGGCTGTTCCGGTTGCTGTAGATCTGCCCATCATTTCAGTGGATTAAAGAAAGAGGATCTCTTGCTGTTTTATTGCAACTTTGTCCGCATCACATGTTTGCAGGCCCATATGTTTGCAGTTCCATGTGACACTCAGACAACAACTGCGTCTGTTTTTGGAGCTGCCTTATGCTGCTTACAGAGACTCATCCATGTGGCCTAACTTGAAGAGCACGCTGTTTATTGTGTGTTGGCACAAAGCACATCACATCCCGTCCTTTGTTAACTACATGTAATTTCATCTCACATTAAGTCGTAATGCACTGTGCTGAAATTACTTGTCTTTTTGGCAGAGCAGACGTTAGTGTGTGGGAGAGCTCTTTCCAACACTCGCTCACTTATTCTGCATTCTGTTTCACTTCAGTGCAGCTGTGCATCTGCATCAAGGACAGTATTTATTTCCTGTTCTCACCCAGCCTCCTGAGCATAAGCCAGCCTTTAATTACTTGATTTGCATGGTTATTCTTTTAACAGATAGTTTTTAGGCTTGAGAGGAGATGGGCTAGAAGCAGTGAAAGTGCTGAAATATTGGGTTTGGATGAAAACCTATTATATGATAGGATAATTTATATCTGTTACCATTCATACCACAGGGAAATGAAAAACAAGAGTTCTTTTTCCACAATGGCAGTATCAGCACACTCCACATTTCAACATAAACTATGGTGTGTTTTGACGAGCAGGCCCTTGTGTTCACTCACACACACTGAATACTTAAAGACCTGCCTCCTGGACGGGTGCCTCCCATATTCAGGAGATACCAGAGAAAAGGAGAATGGCTTCTGCTTGGCCATTAGGGCTTGGATTAATAAGTGCGTGTTGTCACAAGAACAGCTGGGACTTGACTTAGCCCAAGTAAAGCAAGTGAGCTGCCAGAATTATGGACTCTGCTAGTTGGTACAACTTCCCCATGGCCTTTATCTGCCAGAGAATATAAAGTCCAGCCATAATTCTTCATATTCAGCAATATTATTCCACAACAGTGCTGATACCCACCTCTCAACTTGCCTGTTCATGTGATGGGTGTGTCTGGGAACTGACTAAGTAGTTTCAGAGACTGAAAAACTGAAAGCACAGGTAATCTCCACAGATGACGCATATTTTCCCCACACAGCAGAATCTTTATGTGCCCAATCATATATTCCCACCAGGATGTTTTGTTTGGTTATAAAACAAACTTGTTCCTTGAAAACCTAAAACGTATTCCAAAAAACATAACAAAGCAAAAAGTGGTTTCTCTGAAAAGAAACAAAGAAACTGTTGGTTAATAGTTTGAACAAAACGTCCATACAAGAACAGTAAAAAGATTTCTGTTATGTATGCAGTCTTAAACAAACATATAATGCTTTTAGCTTAACATTTGTGTATTTTTGGTAGTGTGCTTTAAAACGTGTGTGCTGCATGCTGTTGTCTCGTCTTAGCAAACGACTCACAAGTCTTTGTTGTCTTGGTTGCTGAAATGTCAATTTGTGTTTACTCCACTATACTAGAAGGTGCCACTATCTTAATCTGGTCTTTTGTTTCTTCTGTTTTTTTGTTGTTTTGTTGTTTTTTCCAACTGTCAACCCTCTGCAATGGCAGAGCATCTTGGGATTGAATTTATGGGTATGAAACAATCCATTTTGATTCTCAGTCCTAGCGTAGCTAATATGACGTCCTTCATCGTGACATGCTCGTGTTCTGTGTGATTTGTGAGTCATGTTGCACCTTGATTAACCAATCAGTCTCTCAAAGCGATCACCCCATAACTTTATCAGAATGGCAAACTGTCAGTCAATGCAAATGATCCTCCATCCAACATTATTAATCACCTATACCTCTCATTCACGTGATTGGAAACTTACAGCGCCGATCATGTTAGCATAATTTCCCCCTTTGAACTTTCATTCCTCATTTCATCTGTAACAAGCATGATCTGTCATGTTTGTAGCTACCAGATGTCTTTCTTCAATACTCAGCTCCATTTTCCCATCTCTTAAGTCTGTCTGTGATATGCTATCTCTGTCTTCATTTTCTAACATGATGCTCTCTATTCGCTTTACATCAGCCTGTACTCGTTAGAATGACAGAAATACAAATTTGAAGAATGAAATATATGTGTATTAATGGTTCAATTCATTCTTTCTGATGTGAGCATGCAATGCTGTTGTATGTCAAGGGCCTACAGTCTCTCCTCTTTCATTTTTCTCTTTTAGCTCTTGTCTGTAGCTGCTTTTTCCAGAGAAGGGCTTCGGTATTTGAGAGCGTAAAACAAATGCTAGAGGCATCCTCTCAGACATTATGCAATTATGCAAGTGTATTCATGCATTAAAACAGGGGAGCATTGTGTTATTGTAAAAAAAACAACATACCATAATTTCCTCTGTTTAAAGTCATTATCATTGGATGGCATGCAGTGTGAAATATTACCCAATATAGATAAAGTGACTTCAGTCATTTATTTATGATGTCAGACATTTGACACAAATTGCTATGTTGCTTGTGAATGAAAGGAGAAAACCTCCAACAGAAGGAGAGGTACAATTTCATTTCAATTTTATTACATTACTCATCCAGGGCCTCTTTGTACCATCATTCTTCCTCAAGGGAAACAAAGACGGCACCTCAACCTCTCATTAGCTCTTCTCTGGAAAAGTAAAGTTGCCAATCAAGTTTCAAATGATGAAATGTTATTTTAGATTTCTCTAGTTTCATTGATTTATATTAGAAATATATTTTAAATCTATTAGTTTGATATATGGGTGTGAATCCTGAGCAGCCAGAATAGACTTATCTAAACTGATAGACCACTGAGGAGCTGTGCTAAACTTTACACATTTTTAAGTCCCATGAACACTCCTTCATAGCAGCACAGTTTGCAAGTGTCCAGTTACTAAAGGCCTTGAACACCACACCATCACACAGAGTTACACTTTAAATCATCTAAAGATTTAAAGATTTCTTAAAAGTAATTTATTGCAAAAACTATAACTCTCACGTATGCTGTCTTAATGTAGTCCAATAGCATCGGTAGGATTGTCTAGTGAACTTTGAGTTGGTGGGGGTCGGAACTGCTCAGGATTTATACAAAAAAGTAGAATAGATGACCACCTTGAAAATGCTAATTGTCTCCTGTTATTTCTCTCTGTTGTGTGTGTGTTTGTGCGTGTATTTGATGGTTTGACACCGACAGAGGCAGAAGAACTCTACCAGAAAAGAGTCCTGACAATCACGGGTATTTGTGTGGCTCTGTTGGTGGTGGGCATCGTGTGTGTCGTTGCTTACTGCAAAACCAAGTAAGTTCTGCACACAGTAGAATCAACACACAATCTCTGCACATCTACATTTAGCTCATTTAACCCCTAGATTTTCTCTTATTTAAAAAAAGTAAATAATAATAATAATCCAGCTACAATTCTGTAATGAACTTTGGTATTGGAAATAAAAGGGTTATTTTTCTTGTTTATTTGTCATTCTTATTTTATGTTTATTAAAATGGCTATGATAGAATGGAGGAGAGTAAAATATAGAATGTTTTTATATACTAAATTGGAATAGGAAATAACCATAAACTGCTCAACAGGAAACAAAGAAAGAAGATGCACAATCATCTGCGACAGAACATGTGTCCAGAACATCCTAATCGGAACCTTGCTAATGGACCCAATCACCCAGGACCAGGCCCGGAGGAAATTCCTATGGTAGATGTATGTTGCTGAGAGAATTGTTGATTATAATAGATGTTAAATGCAGGAAATGCACCAAATGTAGTCCTATTCATCTAATCAAAGTTTGACTTTTTATTCAATCCTACGTCTATTTACGTTGAAACAGTACATATCAAAGAACATCCCTGCGACTGAGCGAGTCATACGGCCTGCAACAGAAGGATCTTTCCCTGCCAGCCACGCTTCTTCCAGATCTCACAACTCTTCCACACGGGCCCATTCATCAACACACAGGTAAGCGTGCAGCGTATGCGGCGTCATATATCCTTGTCATCACAGAGACGGGCACAACTCCAAGCGCCCTGTGTTATTGTGTCTTTAAATGGGACTGTAAATTAAATAAGATTGAAGAGTGTTAAAAGGGCCTTGAAGGGCCAGTTATCATTAGGAACAGATGGCTCTGATGATTTTGATTAAAGGGTGTGTGACATGGTGTTTAAAACGAAATGGGACCAAACCATTTACAATGTGCCGGGGAGCAATAACTCACTGTGCAAGGCTTCTTTAAGTAGTTGTAAGGGAATTATGTGGAAGGGACAGGCACATGGGCAGCACAGTGGTTCGGCGCTTGGCAATACTGCCTCAATGCAAGAGGTTTTCTGCTTTGAATCCCGGCTGAGGCCTTCAACCCATGTGTTTCTTGAAAGAAAAAAAAAGACGGAAAGAACCTCACTAGGAAACTGTGGGGCGTGTACATGTTAACACCTTTTTTTATTTGTCAGACATGAGGAACGGACATGGAGCCTGGAACGCTCTGACAGTATCCTCTCCGACTCGCCGGGCATGATGTCATCATCTGTGGGGACCAGTAAATGCAGCAGTCCTGCGTGCATGGAGGCGCGGGCGCGACGAGCCGCCCACTGTGGTTACGCTGACCCCCATCGACCGGGACTGCAGTTCGGGGACTCCTTCGATTCCTTGGGAGATTCTCCACACAGCGACAGGTAGGGAGCAGGCCCATGCGGCTGACATGGTAACACATTTGTTGTGAACGCCTGGAGATGTTATGTCTCTTTGCCAGTTCTCTCTCAGCGGTGAGTGGCCCATTCAAGGGCTCCTGGCGTGATTCATTATCGATCAGGGACGATGATGGAAAAAGGCTGACAGGAGTTAGAAACGTGTAAAAAGGCACTCCATGAAAACACCCCTAGTGTAGTATTACACATGGATCAGAATCTAATTTTAAACGGAGGATGTTTCATTGAGTTTAATTTCTATTCAAAGAAAAAATGATAGTTTGTGATAGCCACAAAAAAGAGTGTCAATTCTGTCACAAGAAATAAGCCTGGCATTTTGCAAAGAGGGGAAGCAGAAAGAAGCAGTCTGACAAGTGAGAAAATAAGCCTTTCATCACCTTTACTGCAGTCTATATTTATCTTGTGCATATTTCTTTACAGGGGACACATATATATCAGTCCTCTCATGTGCCTTGGGGGTAGAAGCTACAGAAAACAAATAAATCTCCCAAAATGTTGGACTGCTCCTTTAGGATGAACTAGAATGGAACACGGAGAATACTTAATAACAATAGCTCTATCAAAAACAATATATTTCATGTTCTGCAGATTAGACATGCTCATTTGTAACCCGTGGCAGCTTTTTTAGATGCAGATAACATACATTCCTACCTTATATCTTAGGATAACCCCTCAGTTCACAGCTCACACTGCACATATGAGGATTTGGGTTAAGATGAATTGTTTTAATCTACATGTCTGTTTGAAGGATGTAAAGTAAAAACTAGTCAGGTGATTGAATATAAATAACACACATAAAAAAGGTGTTTGTATGGAAGAATCCTCTTCTTTGTAAAATGTCATGATAACTATTTATCTTACTGTCTTGCTTCACGGGAGCTTGAACATTCTTATGACAGCACTTTCAGGTGATATTCTCGATTGACATGCAAACAGGAAAAATACCCTCGTATGATGTGATTGTCTTTATGTTCATTTTAGATTATTTTGTGTACATTGTGTCATCTGACAATCTGAAGCAGACGTGCAGAATAGTCAACGAGTCCTCATTTCTGAGTTAAACAGGATCTTTAAGCTGTTGATGTAAAACAGTTGTTTCCCAGAAAGACAAACACAAACCATATTTCTTTGCGTTTTATATCAATTGTGACATCCTCCTTGTTTTTTGTTCATTAATCCCCTTCTTGGTTCAACAATGGTTTTTCACATTGTATAAAATGAAAATGGACAGGGGGGTCTTTGGCAACAGCCTAGTTGGCCTCATGATTATTGTTTTATTGATGATAATATTTCGAATGTGCTCAGCTCTTTTTCATTGTTTGCACCTGGAAGCAATTACACTCTTTTTTATACAGTAAAACCATTATTATTTAGTCAAGGTCATCTGAACACTGAAAAATAAACACAGGTGAATTATGTTCCAGTAGTTCACGAGGTGCCAGTAATTCTTAACAGGACTTTGAATTTCAAGTTATCCAACAATCTAATATAAAACACATGTCAAATTTTAGAGCTTGGCCAAAATAAGATGAATTGTGCAAATAGACTTGTAAAGCAGTTTAAATTCTTGAATATGATAGTGTTTAAAACAAGTAGTGCCTGTTCTTGATTAGTATCATCATTATTATTGTAGGTGAGCCATGTTCTAAGCTATTATAAATGAATCCATAAACCCGCACTTGTGAATGCTTAACATCAATATTCCTCTGTCAAACAAACTAAAACAATATATAGTGATTCTAATTGAGTGTGCACTTTAAGCATTACCATGTGGTGATTTGAAATAAGCAGGTGCAAGGAGGAAATAAAGATAAACAACACAATAAACTGAATGAGAGAGGCTTTCTAAGAGTCGTGGTGGTCAAGTCTCAGGTTTGTGTTTTATGGCAGCCATTTTTCAAAATGTGGCCAAAGAGCTATTATACCAGGCAAAATCATTTTTCTTTTTAATTTTTGTTATCAATAGTTTTACAGTCTTGTTTGGTGAGACTTTGGAGTGTATCCCCGCTGACAACAGGCGAGGGGCGGGCTAAACCCTGGCATGGTCACCAGTCCATCACAGCCCTGTATAATACATGGTCAGAAATGAACCAGACAGGTTATTCTGTGCACTTCTTCAGATATCAACGGTTCTAACACACTGCTAACACAAATGTCTGTGACTGTTGAATTGAAATGTAGAGACACGCTGTTTAGGGTGTCCTCAGAGTCATTCCAGGTAAGAGGTACCTCTTTCATCATGATGACAGCTTTGGCATCAGCTGAATCAGCACCGTTATGGGAATACCTAAAGCATGTCTAACGCTCCGTTTTCTGGGTTACCGAAAATGACAGTCATTTCTAATATGGACTTGACTCTGATAGTCTGGACTAAAAAAAACATGATAAGATATAATAGGAACTGATTATTCTTGCATCTGACCATGCAGTTGTTTGGAAAAACAGAAAGTCTAAAGTGCATGTAACTATGGAGTTAGTATATTCTCCTATTCAAGATGTAACTCCACACACAGATTAACAGTTAAGGTGGGAATCTTTTTCAAAAAAACAAAATGTTGTCAAACTGTTTTTTTTTCCAGGCCCTTCTTTGTTGTTCTTTAATTAACTGTAACCCTCCTCTCTGTATTTACCACAGATACGTGTCGGCCCTGACAACACCAGCCCGCCTCTCCCCGGTGGATTTCCATTACTCATTGCCCCCGCAGGTGCCTACCTTCCAGATCACATCTCCCAATGCCAGCCACGCCATGTCCCTCCCTCCTGCCGTCCACAATCCCTATCCTCTGGAGGACGACCAGCCCCTGCTGCGCCGCTACCAGGTGCCCCTGCACGACGCCCACTGTCAGGAGCCCTACCGGCAGCAGCGCCGCACCTATCTGAACAACAGCAGGGGCAGCCTTCCCTCCAGCCCCTACCGGCTGGCAGAGGAGGAAGACTATGAGACCACCCAGGAGTACCTCTCCTCTCGGGAGCAACCAAAGAGAAGCGGGTCCAACGGAGCTGGCGGCCGACGCTGGCGGAGATCCAGACTGAACGGCCACGTGGCCCCGCGCGGATATGAGGCCTCTCGAGACTACGGCTCTCGAAGCTGCCTAACAGATAGCGAGTCAGAGGAGGACGGCGAGAGCACGCCCTTCCTCAGTATGCAGAACATGAACGCGGAGCCCTCCACCATCTACAGGCCGGTGGACAGTCGGACTTCTCACTCGTCAGGACGGCACAGTGGGCACGGGAACATGCATACGAGACTCACACACTCGCGCTCTAAACCGGACAATACACCCCATTAAAGAGTGATAATGAACCAACAAGATTCAATATAGTATAGACCTGCATCTATAAGAAATATTTTTATTTTATATAACTGACAGATATTCTAAACAAATGAAATATTTATTTTCATTTTAGCAAAAGTTGTCTACTAGTTAACAGCAAAGACTTTTTTATAGGGAAAACTCTATTTATATGTACATTTTGATTTACAGCATAAAAGATGTGCCAGTTTTTTCACAACGTAAAAAAATAGAGTAATATTGTGGTGCCTTTTGCTGTTTGCCGATGCCAGAGGGCCAGTGGAGGTTTTTGTAGCCTTTCTTATATGGACGCCTCATTTTTTATACACATCTATGTTATTTTGTCCTCTCTGATTTTGTGTTCACTTTTTTTTACATTGCATTCTCTGAGAAGTCTGTCCCCACTGGAGTATAAGGTCTACCCTTTCCATATCACCCAATATAAACCACTTCAACATAAAGTGTATGTTTACATTATTATGATTCACCCGTAAGGTTTATGATTTTGGATGTAATAGAACGCCGGAAAACAATCTAATACAAAAGTAGATTAGGCTATATTTGCCCTCTGACTAATGTCTACCAACAGAAAGAGATAGAAAAGAGTGAGAGATAGGTGTGTGTGTAAATGCTTCTGTGTGTGCACATGTCAGTTTGCCTGCATGCATTTGCGATAACTAAATGAATTTCAATGTTGTGGTGACTTCAAATGTGTAGCTCTGCTTGGATCTCAGGAGAGCTGACAGTTGAGTGTGTGAGTTGAGCAGATCAGAACAGTGACCCCGAGTGTAGGTGGACAGGTAAGGCTGCTGTGGAGTATTGTGTGATGGAGGTCATTGCTTGATGTGTTTACAGCTATGTTCCCCCTCCCAAGCCTGCCCCAGTTCTGTCCTTTTTTTTATTTCCCTGCAGGTTTTCCTCACGTTAGTCTTGTATGAGGCCAACAAACACTTAGCTGCTTGGCACAGGGGGATATCTACCATCAGAGGCAAAACCAAAAGATTGCATCTGTTTTCACTCAAATCCACCCTTATTCCCACATCTCATTATCCTTCTGTGTCCATTCTGTTTCTGTGGCTGGTGTTAAAGGCCACACAGTGTCTCAGGATTTCCACATGCTCCAGCTCCACCTGTCGTCGTCCTCTTTCTTAATGTAAGGTCTACCTAAGACGAAGGTTCTCCGGTGTAGAGGGCCTTGTTGTAATCATAAAGTCTACCAGTTCCCTGAACACTCCCATTCAAAGAAAAGGACAAGCCCGGAGTAAGCAGCTCAGTTGAGAAGAGTACAGAGCATACTAGACTATATTAATGGAACAGCTGTGAAACTATGGAGGATCATACAATGCAAAAATATGCAAACTTTCTATTTTGCTGTTTGATTACATCATTTTCTAAGAGGTGACTGTAGCGTGTTGTGTGTGCAAAAACTATGTGATGCCTGTAGTGTAGAATGAAATAACATGATACAAATGGATATTTACCTGAGTTATTTTTTAAAGCCATTATGCAGCCATCTATCCATTTGTTTGCCTTTCTTGTTCACTTGTCCATTGGATGAATGTGTCCATGACTTATTCAGTTTGTTTTGAGCACTCTTCTTTACAAGCGCACTTTCGAGTCGTGTCAGTTAGCATCCAAATAGTCTTTCCTCCAATAGTACCGTGTACTGCTTTGTCTTGTTGACAGATAGTCATTTAGAGTTATGTCTGTAAATGATAATGATTTTAACAGTAAATTGATTCATATAAGCTCTTTGTCCTCCACTGAAGGAAATATTCAAAAGATATTTCGAGCAGTGTCTTAACATTAAAGGTTGCTTAATGAGAAAGGACAGCCAATGATGTTTCATCCCTGTTGGTCTGTTTCTGCACTTTGTTAAAATGCCGAATTGTCTGAAGATTATCCATTTAAAAGAAACACATGTCACACATAGGTTGATTTAACGCCTACTATGGTAAATGCACATTGGTATTGTCCTACAGAATGGTCTGTGGTCACACCTCAGTCACACCTTGCTGGTGTTTCATCAGGTTTCTCACCTCTGGGTCTAATTTTGTACGTCTGTGAAAGGCGAAAGAAGACACTGCACCTCTAGGTTAAATGTGATACCCCTTCACTTTGCCTGCCCTCTCACCAAACTGAGATGCTACAAGGCACGTCCTGCCAGTCTCTTCCATTTTATTTTATGACCCCACCCTCGCTTGAAATGTTTGAAACACCTCTCCTCTGCATGTTCTTGTGGTCAAGGTTAGTTGGGTGCATGGTTAAAAGACAAAGAAAAAAAGCAGCAGACAATTCTTTTTCAGTCAGTGAAAGTGTATTTCTTTTAACATTCAGCAATAAAAAGAACCTTTCCCCATGTCATTCCTGAAATATGCTAGAAAAAAAGATAAAATGCGAGATTGTCATAGATTGTAAAATAAAATGAAAAATGAATCCACCTGTTCATATGAAAAATAAATCTTTATTCATATCATTTTAATGTTGCAGTTCTTTTCTGCAGAAACTTTTTGCTCGGCGTCATTTTTGGTTGTTGGCTGAAGGTTAAACGTGTCAGGCACGATACACACCGTGTCCCTGGAGTGCACGCATAAAACCTCATGCTGGAATAAAATCTGTTTAATATGGTGAATGGGGGTTTATAAATCTTAACAAAACTTTTATTGTGCCAGACACAACTTGTGTGAGAGCCGAACACTGTAAAGTGTATTAAAAGGTATTTCAGGCTGTCCTATGATAGAAAACATAGATAGTTAATCAAAAATAGTTAAAATGTTTGAATGAGTTATTATTAACATGATCCAAAAAGAGAATATTTAAAGAAATGTTTCTAAATTCACCGTTCTAGCATTAAAAAGGCATGTTATTTTATCCTGGATTCAAATTTCTAAGAGCAATATTCTTATTGATAGACTGAATGATGATTTATAAAGTTCCACTGAAGAGATGTCCCTCAGATTTGAAGTTCAGCTCAAACATTAGCATAAATTGACCACTAGATGGTGGCACAGCAGCGTCAGGCAGAAGTCTTAAAAACTCCATTTTTAGAATGGGAGTCATATTTATATTCTTTTTTTTTCTTTCATTAATTTTTTTCTTTGCAGCTGCACACATTATTCATTAACAGGTTATGTTTTGAGAAAACTCCAAGATAATACTTGAACCAAGTTTTTATTTTATCTCAAGTTAGTCATTTCAAGAAATAGTTATCACACTGAAGACGATTGTTGTGCATTTTCATGATAATCATACATATTTTTTATCATTCATTTATCTAATCCATATTTAATGTCAGATGCACAGTGCTTATATTATGCTAAATATTTAAGATAGGTGTTAGATATCCAGGGAAAGGGATTTTACCTGAGATTAGGAATGTGGTGTTTGCAAAACTGTTCCAAATAGGAAAATAAATAAATGAAGAAAAGGGAATAAGTAGCATCAGTTATGTTGTGTCACAACTGGACCAAACACAACTGCCAAGTGAAAATAAAAGCTTTTATATGAACTGAAAATATTTTTCTAAATGTGACTCAATGATCAAGCATTTATTCTGAATTATGTTTGCAACTAAACTCAGTCAAAAGCCCAGTTCCCGCTATTGGCCGAAAACGGCTCACCAACCGTGTGGACATAGTTTGTTTAATGATTAAATATTAAAAAACAGGTTTATCTCGACCTTTTTGGGGGGGAAAATGTCTCTCAAAGTTAAAAGTGAAGCCAAACTTGAACTGTGGCTGAACATGTGCACCCAAGATGAACTTTGTTTAAAGGTTCACTGATTGATTTCTTTTCTCTGAATAGAGAAAAAGGGAGACCCAAACAATGAACTGTGGAGGCACACAAGTTCTCCTTTAATCAAACTGTTGCTGTGGTTTCTTGTTCTATTTTTTACCACAGTAATATGCACGACGAAGTTTCACACAACTGCAAGAAAACTTTTTAAGTCTAAAGTGTTGATTTTAATGAAAATATTTATTGTTTACAAATACAAAGTTGGCTGTTAAGAGATAAGAAGCAATAAAACCGTACAGTCTACAATCTAATGGAAGCTTTAAAAAATCCTACTTTTTTCACATAAACAAACATTGATACAAAATATATTCATCAGCCACTATTTCAATACCAAACAAACTGATTGTTTACCCTCTCATTGACCTAAAATAACATTGCTACACCATTGGTCCAGCAGTTTTAAGACAAAATAAACTCTCTCTCGAAATCAAATGTACAAGTGACAGAAAAGAAGGTACAAGTAAAAGACGATCCCCATTTTACCATCACTATCACAACAGCAAACGCATGAGGAGTATCGGTCAGTGCTCTCAGACAGCCTGCTTGAGGAGATTTGATTGGGTGTCTTGCAAAATCATGGCTTCCTTGGGTGTCAATATGGAGCTTGTCTCAGGTTTTGTTTTCTCAGACCCACATTTCTCAGATTCCCTGCATTCAAAAAGAAAAGTTGCAAAATAAAGAAAAGGATTAATCAGAGTTCCCTGTGTCGGTTTCGGGGTAAATGTACTTTTATTTGAGTGAACCATGACAACGGTTTCCTTATTGTTGGACATGTCAGTCGCCCGAGACACCTGGACATGCGGAGAGCTTAACCTTACCTGTCTTCCACGTCCTGTATTGTGTCAGGAAGGTGTGCTCCAAGTGTTTCTGGCAGAAATAATGCCGCCACCCCAGAAAGGATCGGCGCTCCTCCATAGATTAGACCCGGTAGCCAAGGAGTGTAGTCCCCAGCCAGCAGCACCATGGGGGCCACCATAGCTCCCACACGGGCCATCATGGACACCCATCCCATGCCATTCTGTCTGAGGGGAGAAAAGTCAAACGGACATAACCTTAAGTCTTAATTAAAGTCGAACAGGGATTGTGGCGTGACTGATAATAATAAATCCCTCTTAATCCCAGACATCACTTCCAACTATTGCATCGGACCACTTTTTAGACCACTATTTTCTCAGCCGATCAACATACGGTTACCAGGTCAATCATGCTGCCAAAAATTCCCACAATAAGAATTCCTCTCTGGCCCTTCAAACTCAGAGAGCTCTGACCACTGTCCACTGCTGATAAGGTATCAACTACGGTCTTAAGTACCATAGTGCATCATCAAAGAATGCTGTGCTAAAGGAGCACTTCAAGTCTTCGTGAGTTAAAACTGTCAATACTTCTTTTACAAGGACCTTTCTCAACATTTTGAAATAAACTGATGTATGACAGCTGATAATTTTGTTCACCGAGTTCCAAATGGTGCTCTCAGATTAAATCCCCAGATAACTTTTTTCTCTGAGTTGTCGCTCTATGTCTTGAGAAATGCCAACCTTTTAAACAAATTGCTGGAGTGGTATTAGTTGTGAACTGATATTGACTTTCTTTTTTACTGAAGCTGATTGGACCTGGTTCTCTGCACCGCCATTCCCTCAGGCTGGGAAATAGAAGCCATTTCGAAGCTTTTTGCATTTGTTTGCACGCCACTCCTCCAGTGCTTTGTGTTCAAGTGATTTTAATACTACAAGATTTTATTTAGAAATCATGGAGCATAGGTTTCCAAAGGGGATTAGTTGAGAACACAATGCTGCCCAAACAATCCATATTTTCCTTTCCAACCACCATTTCTTTAAGTATTGTGGTAGATACCTTGTGCCTGTCATCTTAAAGTAAAATCCCAGAAAAATTGTGCTTATTGTTTATTCTCTTCTTTGAATCGTGATGTCTTCCTTGGCCATCCTTTCTTTGTGTCAAGTCTGGGTGAATGTCTGGTGTCTCGTCATGTCTTGATTACCTATTGTGTACACCTGGGGTTCCCCACCCTCATGTGTTTAAATAGTCCTCGTTTCCCATGTCCTGTGCCAGTGTTTTTCTGTCATTTTGTCATTACGTCATTTTTGTTTTTTCGTCCCCCCTTGCCACGTAAGGTTTTGATTTTTGCACTTTGCCATAGTCTTGTTTTGATGCTTTGCCACAGTTTTGTTCACTTTTTTTATACTTTGTTCATAGTCTGGTTAATCTTGATTTGATCCTTTGTTCATAGTTTTTGTCACAGCCTTGTTTTTTAACTTTGTCTGCACCCACTCTTTTGAGTGCGTTTTTGTTACAATAAACCCCTTGATTCCATCTCTCCGCACCTGAGTCCTCCCTAAGATCCAGCCCCTGTGACAGAAACATGGCTGTGACAAAAACAAGACTATGGCACAAAAACAAGACTGTGGTAAAGTATCAAAACAAGACTATGGCAAAGTGCAAAAATCAAAACCTTACGTGGCGAGGGGGGGCGAAAACACAGTGGCACAGGACATGGGAAACGAGAACTACTTAAACACATGAGGGAGGGGAACCCCAGGTGTACACAATAGGTAATCAAGACATGACGAGACACCAGACATTCCCCCAGACGTGACAATATGTGTCCTACCATACTTACATTGTTTGGCTCTGTGGGCGTTATACAGAATTATGACAAAATATATCCCACCCAAATACCTATAAAGGATTTCCCGAACAAATGCTGGATAAAGTTCTTACAGAGCTCAAACTTTAAGCTGTGTACTAGTTACAAAACAAGCCCATGAAACGAAGTAGTCACTGATTTAGCATGATCTTTAACAGCTTCTGCCAGGTCTGTGTGAGAGTGTTAATATTTATCTGCCCATCTGTCCTCTGACCTTTATTTTCTCTCCTATCACAACACACTACACAGTAGTAAAGTGCACACGTGAATCGTTCTCATGGAGGGTAAAATGATTTTCCATTCAGTTCATCAGGCTTACCGAACTCTCATTCATAAATGTAAATAACTTTGTTTGAGATTTTGAGCAAAAATTGTCCACAAGTTTCTCCCAACATTTCATTTCTCATGTTTTCACGCAAAGCATACCGAATGATGGTGGGGTAGAGCTCTCCAGAGTAAAGGTAACAGCAGTTGAATGATGCTGCAAGACAACCTTTGCCCACCACAGCCAGACAGGTCCGTACGGTCGGTTTATCTGCTCGAAAATACAACACCCGTCAGGTAATGCATTTATTTCTGCTAAATAAAATCATAGCTGTGATGGATTCGAATTTACCGTAAGGAACCAGCACGTTGATCAAAATGGTTACTCCGGCAATGATAAGAGAACCGGATTGTGATGGCCTCCGTCCGATGAAACTCATGCATACAGTTACAACAACTTTAGCAGGGATGTCCACCGCTCCGAAGATCACTTGTATCAAGTAGATGTCCACCCCAAACTTCTGAAGATCCATAGCAAGACCATAATAGGCAAAGCTGGTTGATAACCTGGAATATCAGCAAAGTTTCAATGCAGGGAGATTTCAGTTGTCTAAAAACTGTCACTGAGATTTTCTTTTTCTTTTTTGTTAAAGAATGGGACAGGTACCAGACAGCACTGAGGCAGATGGTCATGATGCGCATTTTGGGAGTGCGGAAGAGATCCAAGATGGTATAGGACCCATGGGAGCAGGACATCTCTTTTTTCATGGACTCTTGAAGCATCTGTGCAAAAAGAGTGTGTACTGCATTCAGGTGATACATATACAGTACATGTAGATGATCAGCTAAATCATCCAAAATGACTTACTTTAATGTCAATTTTTTCAGCCTCCTCATGGCGCCCGTTAAATCTAGCCACGCTTTGAAGTGTTTTGACAGCTTGTTCGGGCTTATTGTTCAGTGCTAACCATCTCGAACTTTCATGAAACCACCTGTAAATAATATTTGTTCTTTCTTTACTGATGACCACTGAATACTTGTAACTTACATTAATCAGTAACTGTAATTGTAGTGTTGATAAATAAGAGGTATCTCACCATGAGAATAGGAAGAAAACATAGAAGGGCAATGATACAGCCAGGGTTAACCACCTCCAGTCCCGGAGGAAGTAGGCGATGGCTGCCAGAAGCAACTGTCCTAACGTGTAACAGTAGCCTGTGATTGTCCCTGTGACTGTCCGCACACGAGTGGGGATCCACTCAACAACTTGAAATTAAAGAAATTGCAAGAGATATTTTTGTAAAATCACCAGCCCATTGTCAGCTATGATTGAAGAAAAAAAAAAGAAAGAAAAAACTGTAATAAGAGGAAACATTGCAGTATAAGAAAGAATAATCGGATGAAAAAAATATTTTTAGGGGATTGAATTCTTGCTTGAACAAAAATGAGCAGAAAAGAGGAATAAAGGGGAAAATAAAAGGACTAATGAAAATATTCAATAATTTGAAACGAAATATGCTTTTTCCCTCATATTCTGTTTGATTTCTTTTTGTCAGTCTTTCGTTGTTTATTTAGTTGAATCCTTTTACAAGCTTGTCGTTTAGTGCTGAGCAAAGTATCTTACTGAGTGAGAAGGTGTTGAGTCCCAGGCCAGACAGAGCCATTCCGCAACCGAACCGGAATAAGCAGAAGAGAGGGAAGGAGGATGAGAAGGCAGCACATGTCCCTGACACTGCCATGAGCAGGTTCGAAAACAGCAGGAGGTTGCGACGGCCATATCTAGAAGAGATATCTGATGTTAGAGAAACATAACGGGAATCAATCTTGAGACAAAATAGTCTTGTTAGAGTTCAGGACTCCTAAATAGTTACTGGAACTCTTAAAGAACTGTAGCAGAGCAACAACTTATTATACAGTGTTTGATGTTACCTGTCTGAAAGACCTCCAAAAAGAAGAGCCCCCAGGAGCACACCCCCCATGTAGACAGTTTGTCCCATTTGCTTTAGAGAACGCAGGTCACACACCAAATGCCACTACAAAAAAATAAATAAATAGAAACAAAAAACCCTCAACTTCACTCGCATTACAAATCGATAATGAATCATTTGTCTTTACAAAACATGCTGATGAAAATGCTTGAAAAATATAACCTTACATCAGATATGATTGTTGAGGTCATCTCAGTCATGTTGTAGGACCATCCATCCACGCACCCCTGCAGGTTAACATCCCCCACATCCTCTTCCAGATAAGAGCTCCCATTGTTAGCCAAAAGGTCCCATTGTGGGGTAACATAGCGCTGGCACCTGTGCGGTTTCCCTGCTTGGTCTCGTGGCACAGTGATGAGCAGAGTTTCTTCAGGGCTGAGATGGGACTGAGAGATGTTGGAATGAGGGCTGCAGTAGTGAGGGGGAACATTAGCCACAAAGTTCTGCAGCAGGTTGTGGCTGGCCATCATCAGGACGGGTATGCAAAGGAGGGTCACATGTAAGATCTGGAAGCGTCCTGTGCTGCCCACTTGTTCAAGGAGGTCTCCAAAAGCCATCTTTTTTTTGTATAAAAAAACGAAGAGATGACTTGTTATCTAAAGTACCAGATTCTGTTGGTTCCTAAATTCCCTTAAAGTGCTCAAAAGTGCACCAGAAGTGAGAGGTATATCAGCATCTGCGACAAGGTAGAAAAATACAGCACTTTAAAAAAAAACACTATTTTTAAAACAACCTAAAAAGATTACATTGAATGACATTAAATCAACTTACCCAAAATAGTGTGTCTTCATTATGTACTAAATCCCAGGATTCTATGAATGATAAAACAATATTAAAAAAGCATGCAAAATACTATCCATTTAAATCAAAGTCTGGCAAAAAGCTTCAGAGAGAGTACAGCTGAAGAAGTTAGAAAAGGGGGAAAAAGTAAAGTCTTCCCGTTGCTGTAACGCATTTAAGGGAATAATCCGCTCTCAAATTCCACCGGCTTTTCTGAACTTTGGATTATTTGACTGTGAGCATAACCTTCCAGAGGTATTAGCAGCTTTTTTTTTTTCTGTGAAGAGTGAGGTAAGGTGCTGACTCTGTGCTGAGCAAAACCTTGTTGAAGTGTCTCACAGCGAATGAGCTTCAGCATCCAGAGTGCAAACATAACTATCCTCAGTCCTTTCCCCTCTGCGCACCAAGACACACTCCCTGCCCTTTACTGGTTACTCAACGTGAGAGACACCGAGCGAGTGTGTGTGGCTCTGACATGTGCACACATGTGAGGTCAGCCAGGTTTTTCAGCCAGCACAACCTTTTGAAGAATTAATTTTCTCATGTTATTTTGCCTTATGTAATATGAGCTCAGTTACAGAAATAAGGAGTTATAGCCAAGACAAACTAAATGAGCACGGCAGAAACAAAAAACAATGAGTGAGTGATTGACTTAAATTGCAAAAGATGCTGATCAATATTCAACTATTCAAAAGCAATTTAAAGCTCTGACTGTTATGAAACAGAATCTTTGGTCAATGAGTGACCGTGTAATGAATTTTCAATCAGCGACAGCTGTAAGTGTTGTAACAGCCATGCTGAGCCGACGTAAAGACAGAGCAGCGAGGACAAATTGTTCTATGTAAAGAAAGGTTCACTCATTTGCCTTTCAACATAAGTATTATTACATTATTTGTTGTTCTTATCAAGTGCATGGCTAAAATCTGAGACTTTTCTGTCTGTTTTATGTCCTGGTGATTAGTTGTGAGGAATGTGTGCTCTTGTGTAAGGATCAGCATGAGATGCCAAGGCGAATGAAGTTGCAGGTGCACCAATGCAAAACAATAAAGTTCAGGCTTTTTCAGCTGTGACTGCTCCGGGACAGATTGGGCTTTTAGATTCCTTTTTGCTTGGGATTTTTTTGTACTTTGAGCCCTGAAAGTAGAGGCTTTTGATAGAATTGATGAAAACTTGTTTTATATAGAGTAAAAACAAAACAGAATAACATGACTTTGCTAAAGTAAAGTGGAAAGTGGAAAGACATTTGCCTTCTTTTGACACAAAATGAAACAAAAATTATGCATACAAAAGAGACAATCTAGGAGAAAATGTAAGAAGATTAATACAAAAACTTACTTACAGAAAATGAAAAAGGAAAAGAAAAGGGACTGAAATAAAAAAAAAGGAATAAATGAGTATGAATATCAAGGTAGATGAGAAAAAAGATTTCCAAAGAGTTTATATTTGTAGTGATCTGTTTTAATCTTCTTCTGATTTCTTAGAAGAAATTTTTGCCAAAATCTCCTCAGCATGATGCTACAACCATTGTGCTTCACTGTGGTGCTGATTCTATGGAGATAATGACTGCTGTAGGATCCGCTACATAAGTGTTTTTTTTTTATTTAGGTTAATGAGTTTTGGTGGTATAACCCATCTTGGACGTTTACATAATCTATTTTTTTCATTTATGCCGAATTTCCCTTTTTGCAAAAAGAGTGTTCTTCTGTTTTACTACGTTAACATGTGATAAAGCCGCTGTTACTATGGTGCTCTGAAACTAAAACATGCGTCAGCTGTGTTTGAACTTTAAAAGCGTTATACTTCAGGCAAGCCCTGAAAAATATTCATAATCTCACAGTTTATTACACCCATAAACCTCGACACACTGTACATGCTGTAATCACGATCCTTTCACCTTTTGCCCATTGCTCTGTTAATAGTTGTTTAAAACAAATTGAACCTTTCGTCACTGTTATGGCCATGTCCATAAAGTAATATCCGCCCAACCACCTGCATAGAGCTTCACTAAGCTTTAGTTTATTCTTTTTTTCTTAAGGGTTTAAAATGCAGGTTAGGTAAAACCATATTTTGTTCAGAACAGTTTTTTTCTGACATCCCAGTGTACTTCTGGACGAGGCTCGACCATTTAGTTTACAATATATTTAATTAATATGAGTTGCTAATTCTTCTTTTGTTTCTGTATACAGAAAGGGCTAATCCCTGTCACCCATCTGGTCAGCGAGCTGGAAAGAGGGCAAGGTTGCCAGTTGAACTTTTCTGAGTGCAACTGGTGATTGCCTGTCCTTGGATGACTTAGTTTCCTGACAGTCACACGGCAAAATAAAATATATGGTGGATACATCTTTACAGTAGAATACAGTAGAATGATAGTAAAATGAACTGTTATCTATTTTTGTATTATGAAAAATCACTGTAGTCTTTTTTCATTTACATTTTTCACAGTATCAAAATTATTTTGGAGTTTGGGCTGTAAATACAAACATGATGAAGCAAACCGAGCATTATGACCAGAGGGCAGTGTCATGGGAAGTATGTTTTATTGTCACAAACACTTACAGGCAGAGAGAGGGATGAAACGGCACAGAGCTGCGTGTCTCAGCTGCTCCTCTTTGCGTGCTCTCGTCTCACACACATTTGACAGAATTATTACCACTCAAAGAATGTCATTTTCACCTGATAACTCAAGTCAAAAACTCTGATTTCACATACACACATACACACACACACAAAAATTGGCTGAGAAATTTTCTCTCAAGATGAATTTATTTTAAATCATTTGAAATGTGAACTTTAAGGATGTGGCCCTTGGAGACTTGGTAAAAATCTTCTGTTTCCATTTCTATGGGGATATCATAACTGTCATTACTGTTTTGGATTAATTTTTTTTTGTTGAACCACTTCACAACAGCAAATATTACAGGAACAGTCTGTGATTTCAGCCAGTGACAAGATTAACTGCCTCTGGCTACATCCTATCTCTGGAGTGCCGCCCTCACAAGTACAGTGCCAGAGTCCTGTCTTCCTCTAAACTGGGTCTCGTGCTAGTGTTGACGTTCAGGTCGCTGTAGGGCCTTGACCTTATCAAACATTTTATCCCTCCTTTTTTTCTATTGCCCCACTTAACTGTAAACTTATTGTCTCTTTTCTTTCATGCAATCTATCCACTTGTTTTATTCTTTACTTTTTGAGGAGTCCATATTTATGCAACGTAATTGATTCCACTTTTTAGAAATGATTCTTAATTGATAAGCACACATGAAAATAGAAATATAGATTTTAAGTTTATCTCAAGTATGAGTATATTTATCATAAGCACACATAACTTGTTTAACTTACATATATTTTATTTACAAATGATGGGAAATTTGAATTTAAAACTTGTGTGGTTACAGTTGTTGTAGATTGTATGGTTAATAAGTGACAAGGAACACTCTCACTTCTGTCAGTCTATGTTGACTGTTTTTCAACCATGAAAACCAAGTACATAAAAAGAAAAATCAATGCTCCTATTGGCACAGATGTCAGTTTTTCACAAGTCTTGCTCCAGTTTCTCCCTGTTGCCTTTCTGTCTGTGTTTGATGATGCCACTCTGAAAAGTATGACATAGCTATGCTTTAGCAGCTTAAACTCTTAACAAATCTGAAAAATGTGGAGTGCAATGTAAAGGAAATGAGTAATTTGAATATCACATGTATATGAGATTGCCTTTAATCTTTTCTTTATTGTAGTCAGCATTGACTGAAAAATTTACTTTTCTTCACATCATTTTAATAAATATAGATCCAGTTTTGCTTATCTGGCTCGCAAGACATTCTGTTACAAACCATTAAACCAACTGTAATAATCACTGTAAGTTATTTATTATATAGTTCTACATCAATGTGTTTCTGATTAGGTTATACATAAAAATACAAACATCAAAAGTCATGTTTACAATAGGAATATGTATTTCATGACATTACAAAGTACCTCATGCATAATCAGTTTAATGGATTTGTGTGATTTAGTGATATCTTGTGGCAAAGATGAATATTACAAGAAGCCAAATACCCGAAGATTAATTTTCTTCTTTCAAGGAGAGATGGTAAAAGTGGGACAAGCAAACTGTCTTGTTTTGTTTAGTTTGTCTCTTCGGGGTTACCTAATACAATAATTCTCATTGATAAATTAAATGATTTTTGGAAACATAAATAGATGAGTTGCTGCTTCAGTGTGTCTGAAAACAACAGGACAGCTATTTTCCACATTTTACTTTTGCAAAACTTGTTCACACACAACCATAAAAGATCATACAAGTCAGTTATGGCATTTAAGACAAATTTTATTCAGAATGGGTCTGAGTGGAAATACAAGAGTTTATATTTTTGAATAATAAAAAAAAACCAATAAATATACAAAGCCCACCACGATGCCATTTTTTCCAGGAATTCAAGCAAGCTTGTGATAACTGCAGCACTGTTATCCCACAAGCCTGTAACCTGTTTGAAGTGGCAGGCCTGAAAAATCTAAAGAGCATTCGCATGTGGCACGGTGAAATTGCTCTGGATGGAGCTTTGTGGGGGGCTTCTTGTGAAACATTGCGGTGTCTAACATGTGGAGTATGAAGGCTTTTAAACCTGTGGGGAAAGTCGGCCGACATGTTGACAGTTACTGCTTATCATCAGGAGCAGGCAGTTTCTCAAGTGTGGGCTCCATGCCCCAGATCTCACGGGCGTACTGGGCAATGGTGCGATCACTGGAGAACTTGCCGCATCCAGCAATGTTTAGGATCGCCTTCTTGGTCCATTCCTTGGGGTTCTGAAATTCATAATGAGTGTGTGATTAGTGAACAATAATAATGATCAAGGTTAGAACTGTTTTATTTCTCAATAAATCAGTACAACATACTGTACAACAAAATACAACATACTGTTCTAGCACATAGTTGAAACTGTTTCTTTCTAAAGCATACCTTGTAAAGAGCATTGACTTTTTCCTGGCATTTCATATAGTCTTCATAGTCAGCAAAGACCTTAAACCTGTTAAAAAAAAACAATTAGCTTGATCAATAAGGATATGCATACACAGGAAAGAAAATGCCTGCAAGTTGTTCTTTTCTGTTTTCTTTGCACTAGCATGCAGATTTATATGCATTTTATTTGTATGCGTGTGTGCATATTTGTGCCTCCGGCTGCTTGTGTTAGATGTGCCTGTACCTGTCATGATGCATCAGCATGTTGACAATTTCTTTAAACAGGTCAGGCTGCTTTGGGCTAAAGAAGCCTCCAGCAATCTGGTCAATAGCCTGTTTAAGCTCAGGAATCCGGTTGTAGTACTCTTCAGCATGGTATCTGAGCAAGAGCAGAAATAAATAATAAACACATTGAGAAAAACAGATGCACAAGCTTTTTGCTGCAGCAACTGGCCAATTTATGAGAGAGCGGTAGTTCGTGTGAATACAGAAATAGCACCAGCTTCCCTAGGGCCACACCTTTTAGCATGGAAAGCCTCTGCATGTGTGGGCAAAACATCTGAGACTGGGAGCACCGACGGGTAAAGAGCAAAAAAAAATGAGATCATTACCAAAACCTATGCACGACTGCAGAGCAGCTGGATTGTCAGTGCGCACGGAGCTCATTGCATTGATTTTAAAAAGTCTTGACAGTTGGCCTATCTTGGAGATATTTCCCCAAATGGATTTTTTCGACTGGTTTTATATGCAAAAATATCATCTTCGACTGTTGTAGGAAAGGAAAAATGCAAAAATTAGTCTTCCCCTTCCGCCTCTGCTGTTTAATATCCTTCACACAGAATATTGGCTGAGTCAAATAATCAAAAAGCTTTCCTGAGAATACTTTGGTTATATCAGCTGTTCAGAATATCATCTTAAATCAAATCAAAAGATTAATTTCAGGAGTTATCCGTTACCCTTTCTTGTCAAGTGCATCGACATCATCGACCCTCATCCCGAAGATGAAGAAGTTCTCTTCTCCGGCCTCCTCTGCCATCTCGACGTTGGCTCCATCCATAGTACCGATAGTCAGAGCGCCGTTCAACATGAACTTCATGTTGCCAGTGCCAGAAGCCTCAGTGCCAGCTGTGGAAATCTGCTCTGACAGATCGGCTGCTGGGATGGCTGCAAGACGACCGAGGAAGGGGGATGGATGACTCCAGTGTGTGTTTCATGTTTGTTCATACTCACGCTGTTCTATTATACTGATTTTGTACCTCTCTCTGCCAGTGTGACTCTGTAGTTTTCCAAAAAGATGACCTTCAGGCGATCTCCAACCACAGGATCGTTATTGACAACCTCACCGATAGCTGTGATCAAACGAATAATCATCTTGGCAGTGTGGTATCCAGGAGCGGCCTGTGAGAAAGGTGTCATTAGAATAAATGAATTAAATTGGTATGATTATTAACTTTTTGATTGGGACACTAACCTTTCCGCCAATCATAACAGTTCTTGGAGTCCAGTGCTTGTTGGGCTCCTTCTTGATGCCTAAAAGAGATGTGAAGGGAAAACAAAGCTAAGATGAAAAGCCTTGTTCTGTCTCTTTTCCATAATCTAAACCAGAATCTGGACACATGAGCATCTACATACGGTTGTAGTAGGTGATAATGTGCAGACAGTTGAGGAGCTGTCTCTTGTACTCATGGATTCTTTTGACTTGAACATCAAACATTGAGTTGGGGTTGATCTTCACTTTGTAGTGCTCCTCCAGGTGCACGGAAAACTTCAGTTTGTTCTCCTGCAGGTTCAAAAAATCCATTTCATTATGCAAAAAGCTGACTTTTACCAGTCTGGCCACATGTGCTTTTATGGTAAACCAATGACATGATGAAAAAGAAAAATAACCCCTATAGACAAAAGATAAATTCACAACAAAAGTTTAACCTCATGACAACACCTTTTCTAAAAATGATTTTGGACAATCAAGTTTGTGAAGAGCTACAGTGCCAACTGTTTCCTCATAACAGAACAATGCTGAGTAATGGATGATCGCGAGGTACAGAAAGATGACTAGATCATTTAGGTGCAGAATATACCTGTCATTAATTGTATCTGAGCTATGTTTAGGGGCCTGTCGCCTGGATGTCACTCACTGCTACAGAACTGAGTGATCTGACGCCACATTTCCAAACACTGAGTTTGAATGCTGAGGTTCTGAGCAGGTGGGCCGGAGGACTGACTCCGTGTCGGTCTGATGAAACATTGTGCTTAAGGCCTTGAGGTATGCCCACATACTCATGCCAGACTGATATCCAGATGGTGCTCATTTCTTTCCGGGTGCTATTATATACAGCATTGCACTCTGGAAGCCCCAAGGACAATGACCATTGAAGTGTGGTAAGTATCAACAAAATGCCATTTTTCCCAGAGTGGAGTGGTAACCCTGACAGTTTGATATCCACTCGTGAAGGGGCATCAAAACATAAACATTGTAAATTAAACATTTGACACAGATCACTGAGGATCAAGCAGCTATGCAGGTTAGCTCTTAGGAAAATAATTGCTGAACGAGACATATTCTGGGGAAAGCAGTGAATGAATATGTAATGTAAGCCTCTTCTCGAAAGGACGCTTCTGCATACAAATAGCACAGACATATTTAAGCTTATCTTCTCAAGAAGTGTACCTAGAAACACAAAGCAGACACACGAGCCTCAGACAGAATTACACATCACCTGTTTCACTTTGGCAACATCACGAATGAAAGCCTCGTCATTCACAAACTTGCGGAGACCCTGAAGCTGGTCGAGATCGCGGATGAATTCCTCGCCAATTTTCTGATAACCAAGAATAAACACCGTGTAGATAGAAGCAACACCACAATTCCACTGCAGAGAAACCTTAATATAAGTTTTGTGCTGTCTATTTAAAGCTCAGCTGACCTCAGCGAGGACCTCAGCCAGCCCCGGGTTGCACATAACCAACCAGCGGCGAGGAGTGATGCCGTTGGTCTTGTTTTGGAACTTATTTGGCTCCATTTCATAGAAGTCCTTGAAACTGGAAGCAGTAGGAAGTCACATATTTCAGTATAAGGATGCAGGGGTTTTGAAATGCCAGCACAGCTGTACAGCACATACTGCAGGTTCTACAGTTTGGTTTAAATAATGGCTTACCACTGTGTTCCAGGCAAAATGTTATCTATTTTGGGGACTTACACTGTAGCTTTTAGGATGTCAGAGTGTATCTGGGCCACGCCGTTGACAGCATGGGAACCCACAATACACAAATGGGCCATGTTGATCCTCTTCTGTCCGCCCTCCTCAATGAGGGACATGCGACAAAGGCGATCATTATCTCCTGGGAACTTGGCAGCAACTCTCTACAAAATCATAAATAACACACAATTACACATGGCTTTTCATGTTAGATTATATCATTCTATCAGTGTTGGTGTCCAAACTACCAGCAGCATGAGCTTTTTCTCTTAGCTTGCAAGTAAATCAGTCTTGAGGTTAAAACATGGTTAGATCTGCCAACCATCTCTTGTAATAAATATTATTATTGTGCTGTAAAGTCAGGGGGATATTTCTGACAGAGGTTCAACACAAAATCTAAGATAAACCAGTTTTTCTGTTGCTCACAGCATGCCAGTCTCTGAGGTAATTCCCTGTATTTGAACAGCTTTTTCCAATATTTCTTTTCTAATAATAATCTAAAAGCTGTTGCCAATGAGACAACTATATATAACATTTTGAATGTTTTTTGCTCTCCTTTCTAGACTAAATTTACATGTGATTACTTGAAATAATCTAACCCAACCTTGGCAGTCATCAGTTATTCTGTTTTCCAAGCAGGTAAAATAATGAAATAAGCAATAAAAAACAACTCAGAATTATTTTTTCAACCAGAATTGTTCAACCACACAAATCTTTTTATGTATGCTAGCCTATCCAGGAGCTCGGGAAGCTTTTGTAAGCATAACATATTTAGAAAAAGGTATATTGCACATTGCAGTGTGTTATAATAACCTCCAGATGGCGACGGTTGATCTCATAGACTATCTCAAGGTGACGGGGCAGTAGATGAGCAAACAGGTCGACTGGCCAGCGCTCCAGAGCTTCAGGAAGGACTGTATGGTTGGTGTAGGCACAGGTGCGTACACAGATATCCCAAGCCTAAACATCAGCGGGAGAAAATATGTCAAACACAGCACTTATTTCCAGCAATGCTCCTGACAGTCCAATGATGTGGTCCCAGCATGGTCAGATATGACGTGCCATCCTTACAATGATCATAGAAATGAAAGAACCTTTAAAAACTGGAATAAAGTTAGAGATTTTGAACATATTTTATAGATGAGAAAATACCCCTTCTATCGTACAACTGATCTTCCCTACCTTATCCCAGGGAAGCTTCTCTTCATCAACAAGTACTCGCATCAGTTCTGGAATAGCCATGGCTGGATGAGTGTCATTCAGTTGGATTGCAACCTAGAACAGTGTGCAAAACATTGTTTAAGAGCCTTAATAGAATTACAATAAAAATCTTCCCACAATCTGTTCTATACCGAGATGAATTTTAATGAAGAATCAGAATCTTTTCCAGTCAGAGGACTGTTCCTCTCAAATTGTTTAATATGATTTGACATTACGGACGTCCCCCTAGAAAACATACTGTTCACTGTTCACAGGATATCTTATCCTAAAGGCATATTAGGCCTTGCTGAGTAAATTCTAGGGCCAATAAATAGTGGTGCAATTCAGAGTGGTACAATCAGAGTGATTTTGGTACGTCGTACTGTTCACACGTGCAGTCGTGCTGGTTTCTGTCAATTCCTGAAGTTTGATCTCTTCTTCTACTAAATGTCTATTTCTTACTTCCTCAGACGAGCTAAGACTCTTATATAGAAAATTCCACAACACAACACCACGGGAACATTTTCCCCTTTAATGGAACATTTTGTATACTGGTTTTTCACTTCACCTTGTCTGGCAGTTTGCTGAAGTCTGTGCGAGCAATCTCTTTGGAACCAAACTTGGAGACCTTGAAACGGCGGATGATGTCTTGCAGAGTGGCAGACACCACAAAGTATTCCTGCTTCAGACGGAGCTCCTTCCCTTCAAAGAACTGTGCATAAAGACATAAATTTGCAAACCATTCTATGTATTATACACACATCTGATTGAGTGTACAGTTCTTTAAACAATGATTTTTACCTTGTGGAGACTACTAACTGATATATGGGACTGAAATAAAGGATTCTTTACAATTCAGGCCATTACATTTCTTTTTCTTTCCATATTCAATAGTGAAAGATAATTACTGATGTAAGCTACAGTTTTCAAAGACTGTTGAGTTTTTAAATGAGTGTTTACATCAGTTATGATAAAGCTTTCAAGCGTCATTTAAAGAAATGTTATGGTAGATCATCCTCAGGGTCAGCTAACCTCTGTTCTGCTTTTCGAGTGATCAATTGGTTTGGTGAAATAAAGAAACTGCAAGCTAATTGTTAGGAAGTTCTTGAAGGTACTGAGATTGTCTAACTACATGTAAAAATGTGACCCTTTAGATTTTCATAGCAGAGATTTAAAAATACTGTGTATGATAGAAAATGGCATTTTAGAGCTGTACTTACTAAAGCAGAAGGTCCATTGGGGTTTCTGCTCTCATATGAAGAGACATAAATTACCAGATCTACAATGAAGTATAGCTCAAGGTAGATGGCTATCGCCTAAATCCCCCTCCACGAGCCTTTAGAAAGTCTGAGTGGTGGTCAGGTCTTAAATCAGATTTAAACAGGAGCTTTGGAAAAAAAGAAATCTGTGATAACACACAGTGACTCCAGCTGAGAAGAAAGGACGCGAGTCGGGGTCCATTTTCTTGAAGTCCATCTCTCAGCTGATAAGTTCTATTGAGTTTAACAGGGGGCAGACTCTCTATCACTCACCCGCAGTAAAATGTTGGCATTTGTATAAATTAAAGTGAAATTTGTCAGTTGTGAATAAAGCAGTAGTTTATCAGAAAGAGATTAATATATTCATTCTCTTACATTATCGTTGGGGTAGAGAACACGGGAGATGTTCTCAGCCAGGTTTCTGTCCAAAACAGCTTGGATGTAGCCACCAACATTGACTAAAAATAACAAAAGCAATACATAGACTTGATCAGAAGGAGTCAATTCATTATGTTTTCAGATGTGATGTCTGTTCGACACATACAGTCTTTCAGGTTAAAGTCGCAGGGTGCCTTTGCCGACCACAACCTCATAGTGTTGACAACATTGTTTCTGTAGCCCGGTACAGGTGTGTCATACGGCAGAGCCAGCACTACCTGCCAATATCATCATATAAAAAGATAGAATTCGTGATTATCTATACAATCAGATTGAGGAATCATCACTATTTCTTTCAGATCTTATTTTCACCTGAGAGTCCACCCATTTGACACCGTCAGGGTGATGCTCAGTCCTGCCATAGAAATGAACCGGCCGCATGTACTCAGGACGGGCCTTCTCCCATGGGTTGCCATAGCGCAGCCAGTCATCAGCCTCCTCAACCTGGATAATAGAATACATTTATACTGAAGACGCAGACACTCATCATATTAATGTAATGTGAACTCAGCCAGACAGAAAAAGGAAACTCATTCTGTATGTTTTTCAAGGTGAAATAAGGACACTATCAGCTATTCCTCTACATTGGAAAAAAAAATCTGAACTGAAGCAAAGGGTAGACTCTTTTCCTACCTGCCAGCCATTGACTATTTTCTGATTGAAGATGCCAAATTCATAGCGAATGCCATAACCGTAGGCTGCCAGGCCCAATGACGCCATGGAGTCCAGGAAACAAGCTGAAAATTGAAATCCAGAGCAGATAAAGGATGGGGATCGATATTAATCACACATTCTTCAAATCAGTCAGCAGTTGTTAACATGAATGAACAAATATGAAGGGTAAAGAGTTGTTCACCTGCAAGGCGTCCCAGGCCACCATTCCCCAAACCAGCATCTTCCTCCATGTCCTCCAGCTCCTCCATGTCAAGGCCAAGCTTCAGAGGAAAAACAATGATTGATCCAAAAGTATATTTTTTAGCGGAATCACAATTTTTTCCAAACATTGTAAGCGGATATTTTGCACTTTTGAAATTAGCTCCGCTTACCTGGTACATGGCCTCATCACAGGCATTCTCCAGTGCCAGGTTTACCATGGTGTTTTGTAGGGTGCGTCCCATGTAGAACTCCAGGGAGATGTAGTACACACGCTACAGGTTTGGAAGACAGGGGAAAATTATGTAATCTATATCAATCTACACAAATGAGCAGCTTAAACTGGTTGATTTATGGGCACTTAAGTTAAGATATTCTAGTAACGCTGTATTGTCAGGGTGGCAGGAAGGCCTCCCCAGCTGCCTGGTGGGTACAGACCAGCCACTGAAACCATAAACCTGTGAAATCATATGCCAAATGTCACAATAACACCCAGCCCTGACTGTCAAAGAAATCTTCAGGTTTCATGATTTAGCTTCATGGTTGGGAGCACATATAAATGTGCCACCTGAGCCAGTGTTTAGCCTTTGCCATTTAGATGTTTTCTTTTTTTCTTTTTTTTCTTTGAAATGGAAGGACAGGCACAGGCAGTGGAGGGTGAGGAGGGGGAGGGGGGGGGGGGCTGGTGGTGGCTGGGAACAGATTGGTGTGGGTATTACATAACGAAAACATTTTGAGCTGGGCAAAAATAGCTCCTGTAGAGGTCGCTGTAAAGGTCATCCAGAGCCTTATGACCTTTCAAGTTGGAGTTCGAGTTCAAGTCCAGAGAGAGTGAGACAGTTCAGCTTGTCTCGTAAAATAATAATGAGTACAAATGACAGGGCCTTATTCTTGAGCAGCAAAGGGGTTTCTTGAATTATGTATGACTGTATGTTCCAAATTGCTTCTGCTCTTATTTCCAAGAATGCTTATTATCACTGGTGGAGAATCCACTCTTATGTAGTAACAGTAACTACAACACATCTTCTCCTTATAAAACAGCTGGGATGTCCCCGCCTCTCTCCACAGGTCATGCCAACATGGTATTCACCTTTAACATTTCAATATAGAGTGCCAACAGAAGGTGTCAGATAGTTTTAAGGTTATAGTCACACTACCTCAACCTTTGATAAAAAGTTTTTGTGGCGATACCATGTTGTAATAGGTCTCCCCTTTCAGATGAATGAGATTAATGCACTCATATGACAGATTTGGACCATTCATAGTGAAGTGAAGGGAGGAAAGGGGGCTTCTTCCTTGGCTAGAAAAAGAAGAAAATTATCCCCAGCTTTATTCAGCAGGGTTATTAACGATTGTGCAAAGAACCTTTTTTCTTTTCGCAAAGTAAAAGGAATCAGAGTGGAGTTCTACTCTCTTCAACTCGAATTTCATCCAATTTTCACTAACATTTGTTCAACTAATAATGTGGGCCAGATTGCAGTTTCAGTGCACCATGCTAGAGTCCCAGCCACTCATTGTTCCTCTGTTACTGTTAGTTAAAGCCCCCGTAACTGCTGAGATCCAGCTGTATTGCAGATGCTTTTAACTGAATTTAGACGCCCTTGGAGGTATGTGCTCATGTGACCTGAGTGAGGGCTACGTGCTCTGCGGTCAGCTGGGACAGAAGCAGAAGATCCTATGAACGTTTAATGTTTCAACACATTGTAAGTAGGGCAGCATACAGGCAGAGCGCTAAGATCCTGCAGTGAAGTTTAAATGTCATGACTTGGCATTATGCTAGCATCAGTATGTTAAACGTGCAGTTGAATATAAGGTTTTTGGCCTTGAAGCATACATAGTGCTTGCTAAAGTTCAAACTCCCACATTCTGATATAACAACAAGCAGCCAACATCTTTAAAAAAAATGAGGGGTGGCAAAGGATCTGGGAAGCAACATTTTCATCCTACACAGAAAGGGTTTTTTGGGACGTATTTTTCATCGGTACATCATTATACAGTAAAAACACCTCTTCAGCTTTGGAGCTGGTCCAGTAGGAGCTTCATCTGTGTACATGAAAGCAAAGTTTCTTAAGTGGATCATAAAGTGAATGATAGGGGCCATGATGACAATTTACATTTATTTTGATCATTACTAGCAGTGCAGCCCCTTTAAGCAATGACTAAATAGGTTCTTGCTTAACAATGCAAGGTATTGCAGGAGATGGTAAAAGATAGATATTTAGGTAATTTAATGTGATATGCTCCCTGATACATTTTGAAGCTTTGAATTTCATTATCAATAAATGTTAAGTAATATATACTATAAACCTTGATACAGTACAAACTCAAACTTACTTTGGGATCTTTCTCATAGTAGTGCTGCTGGGTTCTGATCCACCTGCCAACCAAGTGGTCTCGCACTGTGTTGGCAAGAGCAAAGTAGTAATCCCTTCTTGTTGCCACATTTCTGTCCTTGACCAGCGTAAAATGGAGATGTCTGTTGAAGTTCAGCTTCAAGTCTGTGACATTCTCGACACCAGCGAGGCCTCTCACTGAAATCTGCTTCTTCCTATCATGGTCAGACAAAGGCTTAGACATAATGGTGCAAGTTATGGCAGCTCACCACTCTGAGTCTGGCAGATTGTAAACAGTAAAGCCCAGATACACAGCCAGAGAGGAACCAACACCACAGGCTCAGGATCATCAATTTAAAGACACAACATGAATATTAAGTAGAGGGTGGAGGAGGCTGTATGGATTGGGTAAAAGGCAGGGCTTAGTCTGAGTGCTCAGTCTCATTAATAGCTCAGGAGTCCAGTCGGGAACTATTGTGTGTTCTTTGCAAGACTTTAACCATAACCCTAACCCTGTGTTCCTATAATTCTCAATATGATATTATCTTTAGTTCTCAATATGATATTATCTTTAGTTTGTAAAATCCTAAAAAATAAGTAGGATGAAACATTTAAAAACAAAAAGGATATTGGATTTATTTCTGTTTACAAGTAGGAAAAATGCATTTTGGTGTTTTTTATGAGTTGCTTGAATTTCTAACTTCCATGAAGGATAAATATGACACTCACAAAATAAGTTCTTCAATAACTGGATCAAGTCTCACTTTTAAGTTAGCTGCGCCTCACACAGGCAAATATACTACTCTATTATTACTCAACATAGTGGCACAATGAGGGGTTATAAACCGGTAATCCCCTATTTGTGTGTACAGATCACATCTGTTTAAGAGCCCGAAGCGAAGGCAGACACAAAATCAGCTGCAGTGAAGCAACCCACTCCATTCTCAGTTATCACTCTGGCGAGCTACACTATCATAAAGCCCTGACCTTCTATAAATAGTTACTCTGACCCAGTCCCAAAGGCCATGATATTTGAAAGGCATATCTTGTTAATGTCAGGAAGAGCCAGCAGACAACACCAGTATATTACTATATCAGACGGACCACAGTATAAGTGTGAGAGCTGTGTTTAATAAGTGGCTCTCAGTAGGATGAAGTGCTACACACTTAGAATTTTCATGTTAAAAACAGATGATTACAAACTGGTTAAGCGCTGGTTGAAAGAATGATTCTGATTTTAGTGTCAGGACAGTGGACTGACCACATTTAGTCCTTCAAAGTATTTAGAATAATACTATCTTGTCTTTCTCATGATTCCACCCCATCTGTCTTGATGGGAAAATATATTAAAAAAAATACTGCTGTCAAACAACTGCCTAATTGAAGTAAAATTGCAGGTGTCTGTGTTGTTCTGAGAGCTTTTTAGGACTTATTCAGCACATACTCTCCACACTATTTCCTATGAGATTCCCCCTCTGTGTCCACAGATCTTAAATGACCAACCAGACAGAGGAAACACCACACACGGAGTGATGGAGATTGAAACTGGCGTGCCCCTGATTTGTCCAGTATGATGAGCAAATTATGTTCTTACATGTCTACTGGCTGTTCTGTCAAATGCTAGCATCAAGCATTTAGAAAAAAAAAATCACTAAACTGGATATACTGATAAAGCCGATATTTTTCTTTTTGAAAAAGCACAAATTAATGTGAATCACCATAAAATACATTTGGTTTCTTAGAGTAAAGGCTGATCAAAGTTTACTACATATTGAGCAAATTAACTTTGTGACAAAATGTACACATTGCATTTTGATTTTTGCAAACCACAGATATGTAGGCTATACTCTCAGAAAGTCAGTTTGTAATTGACTAATGAATAAAAAATGTCCATACAATATCATTACCGCTTATTCCCTAATGGGGTCTCGGGGGGAACCAAAGCCTATCCCAGTGGTCAATAGGCAAGAGGCGAGGTACACCCTGGACGGTCCACCAGTCCATCGCAGGGCCACACAGAGACATACAAGGATAAACAACCACACACACTCACACTCACAATTGTCTCTTGGATTTTTTTTCTTGGTGCCGGATAAAATACATAAAAAATGGTTGGAATAACTATTACGGGATAACAAAAGACCCTAGTGTCAGATAAATCGAATGCTTGTCACAAATCAGTTTATGAACATCCAACCAAAGCCTCTATGATGTAACTGATGATAACTATTGGATAGTTTTCAGATTATAGAATACAGTCATTTATAAACACATTATGCATATTCATTAAAATATTTTCTATTAATAAAAATAAGTGACTGGAGTTTTGTCATCTGTCTGGATGTGAGTTGGACATTTATGGGAGATTCTCTAAAAACACAAAATAAAATGTCCTCTCATAGATCTTATTTCTCCAGCTACTTCAGGGATGTTTCATTTCAGATTTCAAAAAATGATGCCAGCATCACAAGAAAACCTTATTTAATGGAGTTGTAAACATCAGAAACCTGTCACACAGAATTATGTACAACATCCCCAGGTGTAATTTTTGTCTCACACCTCCGTGTCTGAAACATCAGGTTTCTCTGTGACTGTTCACAAGCCTTCAAGCTGCCATTGATTCATTTGTCTTTCTTCTTATTTTTTTTCCGCTTAGTCTAGCCCTTGTCAGGTTTGTCTGTGGAGCTTCTGGTAAAAGAAGGACAGTGAATAGAGGACTCACTGGAACTCAGCGGAATAAATTATTTTGAAAATAAAAAATGAGAATAGTAAAAAGAATCCCAGAGAAACAAAAGAACCCTCTATGTATGCAATAGTAGTGCAGTATACTGAAGAGCAATTACACTGTCTCACAGAAATGCACAAAATACCTTCTGCACCTTCTTAACAATTACAGTTGTTATTATCAAAATAACAAAAAAATAAATACAATAATTCAGTTTTAATAATAAGAAGAATTCCTCTTCACATCATTGCATTTCTGTAGCTAAAGTGTTCTATTACACGGCAAAATATTAACCTTCTTAATTAATATCCATGCACTTTTAAATTATCAATCATCAGCAATTTTTAGAAATGTCATCCCCACAGTGTAACTGTTTTCTTAAAGAGTTCATCACTTTGTTTCATCAGCGATCATATAAAAAGGAACATGTCTGTATTTACAGAGGCATTGAGTATTTCCTCACTTTAAGTTTATATTATTGAAAATATCTTATCTGCATATTTTTTCTTGCTGGCACTAAACCATGAAAATCTGTCATCCGTACACTGCAGCCTGTTTCATTGTGGCACTTGTTTTGCCTGCCAGTGAACTTGTCAACCTGAGGCTAACATGGAGCAGAGGGAATACTGTCACCTGGTGGTAAATCTGGCAATATCACAATGCAAATCACCTGGTTTGATCTGCAGTATTGGTGGTTGCTCCTTCTGTTGCTCCTGCTGAAGGAGGCCTTGCTGATAAATGAGGTCTGTTGACTAATTCATACCAGGAGAAGTATCAACACATTGCAACTGGATTCCATTAATTTTAGGCAGTTGGGTTTTCATTTAAGAATTGCTAAAAAGCTAGATATTTCCTTTCGAGGAAAAAAAAATTGTTTTGAACGTGAGCACAGAAATAGAGAGAAACAGACAGGGACTATTTACACACTGACAATTCGTGTGTGTGGGTGTGTGTGTGCGTGTGTGTGTGTGTCTGTGTGTGTGTGTGTGTGTGTTTTATCTATCTACAGGTGTTTCACTTTATGTAACTGAAGCCATATGTTCAGAACGCTTGAATGGCACCTTGTTCAGTCACCTGTAGCTCAGGACAAAGAGCAAAGTCTCAGGGGGTTGATCCTGGAGCACATGTCAAAGTGACAGCAAGAAAGTGACTCACGTTGCCTCTGATGGCTGTTTGAATGTAAGTGCCTGCATGTCTGCATAGATGAATTCTTATGCAGTATGTTTGTATGTGGTTTGCGTACAAAAAGCACTTCCAGTGATCTACCACACAAAAGAGAACTTAAATACAATGCATTTATCTGTTCATTTTGGAGCTCTGACTGACCTTGCATCACAACGAAAATACACTGTGTTGTTGAAAAAGGAAAAAAAATTTGAGGTGAACGTAATGGGAAGATATTGACAAAAGTATTAGCTCAAATGCCATTGCTCGAATATGAACTTAATTGACATATCATTCTTAATTGTTTGCAGCTATAACAGCTTAAACTCTTCTGGGAAGACAGTCCACAAAGTTTTATAGTGTGTTTATGAGAATATTTGACCATTCCTTTTCCATTTGTGAGGTCATACACGCCAGTCAAAGTCATCCACGCAAAACTCTCATCCCTGCCTTTGCGGACCTTGCTTTGCGCATTGCACCTGGCGATGTATGGCTTGGATGCAGCTGCCCAGCCGTGGAATCCCATTCCATGAAGCTCTTTACTCACTGTTTTTCAGCTCAGCTGAAGCCGCATGAAGTTCTGAGATTCTGTAGTGATTGCTTGGGCAGAAAGCTGCTGACCTCTGCACGCTATGCGACTCACCATCCACTGCCCCCACTCTGTGGGTGCGCGCGGCCTGAGACTCCGTCGCTGAGTCGCTGTCGTTTCCAATCGCTTCCACTTTGTAATGATACGGCTGACAGTTGACTGTGGAATATTTAGGAGCAATGAAATTCATGACTGGACTTGTTTCCCAGCTGGTATCCTATCACAGTACCACCCTGAAATCAACTGAGCTCTCGAGAGTGAGCCGTTCTTTCACAAATGTTTGTAGAAACAGTCTGCATGCTTGATTTTATACAAATGTGGCTATGGAAGCTATAGAAACAGCTGGTTGAGCAATTACATTTGGCAATATGGTATATGTCATATATTTCTCATTTTATAATGTCATCCAATTATGTTTCTATGCTGTAATAAGCAATACACAGAATTTGATGTAATTTGATGTGCACAGAAAAACTGCATAGATATGCATCATTGAAGTTTTGTAGACCATGTGAAGTTCTGCATCGTTACTGCCTAGAATTACTGCCTTGGGTTTTAAAAGGTTTGGCTTGATCCAACAGTGCATGTCAAAGTGACACCATCAAATAAATTGACCACATTTGTGGAGCAGCAGCATCTGTGTCCTGAAAAGGAAAATTACAGTTTAAGGAAGGGAGGATGGTGGCTTAAAAAACACAGAAAACTTAGAAAAGGGCACAGTCAGTTACTGACTGAAATATGTGTGGGAATGTCCGCATTTTATTCGTAGATGTGGACAAATTGCCAAAGTTACATCTGTGACAGTGGTAGTGTAGGTTAGGGGTAGTGTAGATCAAGCAAGATGATTAGTTACATCATCTTCCCAATCTGT